ATGTAGGGGTCCTGGTGTGGCACTGTGGGGTAATGTGCCAGACTGCAAAGCCATTTGAGCTACAATGTCAGTGGTTCAAGCTCACCAGTTGCTCCTTAGAATCACTATACAGGGTCGCTATGGGTCGGAACTGACTCAACGGCACTTCACAACAACAACAACAATATGGATGGGGAATGAGGGATATCATTTTTGACACTTTCTGGATACTGGCTAAGAGCAGAGGATACCAGAAAGACATTACAGGTACATTATTGAACATGTAAAGGCATTCAACTGTGTGGATCACAACAAACTATGGATGACATTGAGAATAATGGGGTATTCTCAAACATTTACTGTGTTCGTGAGGAACACGTATGTAGATCAAGGGGGCAGTTGTTTGAACAAAAGAAAGGCATGCTGAATGGTTTAAAATCAGTAAAGGTATATGCCGGGCTCGTATCTTTTCACCATATTTATTCAATCTGTATGCTGAGCAAATAATCGGAGAAACTGGATTTTACAAAGAAGAACATGGCATTATGATTGGAGGAGGACACCCTGGGATATGCAGATGCAATAACTTTCCATGCTGAAAGTGAAGAAGACTTGCAATATATAGTGATGAAGAAAAAAGACTACAGTGTTCAGTATGGATTGAATCCCAATGTAGAGAAAACAAAAATCACCACCGCTGGGCCAATAAACAGAGAAAACATTCAAGTTGTCAAAGACTTCATTTTGCTTGCATCCACAATTAACACTCTTGGAGACAGCAGCAAAAAAACCAAACGACATATTGCACTAGGAAAATCTAGTGCAAAAAGCCTTCTTTTAAAGTGCTCAAGAGCAAAGATAGTAGGTTGAAGACTAAGGTACACCTGACCCAAACCATGGGATTTTTAATTGCCTTATGTACGTGAAAACTGCATAAGGAAGACTGTAGAATAAAGTGGTGCATTTGAGCTATAGTGTTGAAGAAGAACACTGAAAGTACAAGAAAAACAAACCAATCTGTCTTAGAAGTGCAGCCAGAATGCTCCTTAGGAGCCACAATGGCAAGACTTTGTCTCTTATACTTTGGACATGCTGTCAGGAGGGACCAATCCTTGGAGGACATCATGCTTGGTAAAGAGGAGGGTCAATGAAACAGAGGAAGATTCCCAAGATAGACTGACACAGCGGACGCAACAATGAGCTCAATCATGATGCCGACGGGTGCAGGAGCTGGGGCAGTGTTCTGGTCTGTTGTGCGTATATGTCACTATGAGTTGGAACTGACTTGATGGGACCTAACAACAACAAATGGACTGAAAGGAACCCTGGTGGTACAGTGGATTAAGCACTAGACTGCTAACTACAAGGTTGGCCATTCAAACTCCGTTCTGAAAAAGAGAGACAAACTGTCAGGTCCTGTAAAGATTTAGTCTTGCAAGTCCTGGATCCTGGTGTGGTGCTGTAGGATCATCCCTGGAACTTGTGAACCACAAGGTTGGCAGTTCAAATCCACCAGCTGCTCCTTGGAAACCCTATACAAGTTCACCAAGAGTCAGAACCAACTCAATGTCACTTAAGAACAACACAGGGTTAATTGGGGGGGATGGTAGTTCCGTAGGATAAGCACTAGACTATTAACCACAGGTTTCAGCCTGCCAACAGCTCCCAGGGGGAAAGATGAGCCTTTCCGCTTCCATAAAGGTGTTTTTTTTTTTTTTAAAGTTTTTATTGTGAATTATGTGGATTTTACATGGGAGAACATTAGTCTTACATTCTTCCTATCGCATTTCGTTTCATTGCAATGATTACAATCCCCT